AAGAAGAAGAAGAAGAAGAAGAAGAAGAAGAAGAAGAAGAAGAAGAAGAAGAAGAATGTATATACTTCAAAGGCCAAAGTTACTGATACAGGATTAATTAGTAAATAATAATAATTTAAAAATCTACTGTATATCAGACCTAGTAATTGCTTGTTTTCTTCCCTTTCTCACAGGTGCTTGTGAATTCCAAGAATCGTGACATTGAACCCCAATGGTAGAGAAACCATCCTGTCAAAACAAGGCAGTTTCCCAATCTTAGACTCCCAAATGTCCTATTTTATGGGTGAAAACAACTTAATGTATAGGGGCTGCTGGCTGAACTGTCATGGAATTGTTATACTTCTCCAAGTCTTCAGATGGGGAGACAAAAAATCTCAGGATAAGCCTTCCCGAAGGAGGCAAAAGTTCAATTTTTTTTGTATGTGAGGCAGATTTTAAAAGCACTCATTCCCCACCCATTCTCAGCAGGCATCACGGCTCACTGACTCTGTGCCAAGACTTTTAGATCTATGTTTTTTAGCTACTAGTGGAGGAGATCCACACTCTCGTGGCTACTTTGTCATATATACACACACAAATATATATATTACAGGACCAAAACCTAAGACCATAGATAGGTCCCATGTATATATACAGCATGTGTGTAAATTCAAATATATCTATGAGACCTACCCATGGTCTTTGGTTTTGATCCTGAAATCTCAGAACATATGGAAATGCTGACCTGGCAAACCTATGTATAGGAATGAATCATGTCCCAACACCCCCTTATAAATCTGGTCAGATTTACTTGTGTCCTTCAGCCTCATTTCATGGGCCCTTAATTTCATAGTGCCTGCAGACGTGGCAGAGCCAAAGAGAGGTGGATGTGAGGTAAAGTAACTGAAAGAGAGAGAGAGAAGCCAACAAGAGAGAGAGATGGGCCACGGGGTTGCCCCATCCATTTGGGACTTGGCACCCCACATGACCGAGCCACAAATCTCAGTTGATTTTTTTTTCTCCATAAAGCAACAAAGGGCCCTCCTAAGACATTTCGCTGCTTGATGTGGCATCACAAATAATGGCACACGCATAGTCCTAATCCAAATGTTCAGAGACTAAGTGCTTAAAAGCGAGCTATGTTATTTCAGCACAGGAGACAGGAAATACCACAAGTCCCCTTTTTTCATCTTCATTTTTTTAAAAAAATGATGATAATAAAGAAAATAGCTACCAGTTGCTGGTCAGAGTATATCTGATTGAAATCAGATTGATTCAAATCACTAGCAGGCTGGATAAAAATCAATTTTAAAAAATTTAATGACATTTTTTATTGATTTTTTTTTATCCACCCGGTGATTTAAATCCTGATTTAAAACAATTTGATTTTAAGTCGTGATTTGAATTGATTTGATTTAAATCAAACCCACCTTGCTTTTCGTAAAATCTAGGATCTCCCCGCCCCCCAGCAAGCTTCCTCACTTACAGTAAGGTCAGCCCTGGGTTAACATCCCTTTCTACAAAAGGAGATTGTCTGCCCTGGTTGCTACAGATGACTGTTTTTCAACGATGTTCCCAGAGTTTCCTTGGAAACTCATCAGAAGGACCTCCAAAACAAAACAAGAAAGAGCAGATGAGACATCTCACCCAACCGTATCCACCTCCCCTTGGAATGCTCTGCCACCAGAGCAGAAAAATGCTGGGTGTGTTCATTTACGTCACCCTTTCCTTTCTGCCGGAGGCAATAAAGAGGCCCAACAGGCCTAGTGAGTACACCCCTGGAACTGAGGTGCACCCTAAGGTAAAAGGCAGCATCTTCTGCAGCGTACTGGGGTTCCTTTACAGGTAAAGGGGATCCTTGTCAGCCAGTATGCCGGGGGGGGGTTAAGTTTGAAAAAATATGCTACCTAATAAAAACAAATCCATATTGTTTTTGCTTCCTGCCAAATCTTGAAGGCTGTGAAATCCTAAGAGTCTGGAAAACAAGAGAATTCAATCTCTGGCCTTCTCCACTTTCTCTGTTCTTTTCATTTTAAAAGCAGGTTTTTAACTTTGGAGCCCGCAAAGATAATGTGGGTGACATCTTGAAAGCCAGGGCACAAGAAGGGGCTGAGTTGCTATGGTCTGCAGCAGGTGCTTCAGTATTTTTCACACCCTTTTTTTTTCCAGAAGCAGTTGTGCTGTCATATGCAAATCTTATTATATAAATGATTTCACTTCATGCAAATTGTGTGGTTTTTTTCTTGGTACAGAACTCTCAGCCTTTAGGAATGTGTATATTGTTTATTGTCAACAATATGAAGAATAAACAATAGTATAGCACAATATGAAGACGAGAGGCGAAGAGCCATTAGGAATCAAAGCCCAGATTTCAAATTTGAAACTGTGGAATGGACTGTGCTGAGGATGGATTGAGCATAGCTAAAAATAAAAGGGTGAAAACTTAAAAAAAAACTTTTAGAAGTTTTAAAAACTCTTCCCTAGGTTAATTTATTTCCAGCCAACTTAAAAGCAGAGTCTACACCTCTTCCTCACCTTCTAGTCCCTTATAATCTTTCAGCATCTTTTAAGGAAAAAAAATAGGTATTCCCAAACAATGTGAGCACAGTCAGCAGACCCCTTATCACCAGCAGCAACCACAACTCACAATCCCTTGGTCACAGATGGTATCACACCTATCACACTCCAACGTTTGCTGGAGTTTTGCTGTTATTATGGTCTTTGTGTCACCAACACGTTCTTTAATACAAAGCCTCAACACAAAGTTTCCTGGAGACATCCAAGATCGAAGCATTGGCATCAGCTTGATTTGATCCTCAAGCAGACCCCTTATCACCAGCAGCAACCACAACTCACAATCCCTTGGTCACAGGTTTACCGAGATGGTATCACACCTGAAGTATTGTGAGGAGGCTCCCTTGTAAAACGTAAACTATGGTTTGCTGAAACCAGCAAAGCCCACTTAGCAAGATCAATAGGGGGAGGATTTCTATGACATTTCACACTTTCTTTGCAACCTATACTTGAACCCACAAGCAAAATGGCTTCAAAGCTAACTATAATCAAAATTTATGTCAGTACCTCGTAAAGTTCATTTTTTTTGTATGTGAGGCAGATTTTAAAAGCACTCATTCCCCACCCATTCTCAGCAGGCATCACGGCTCACTGACTCTGTGCCAAGACTTTTAGATCTGTTTTTTAGCTACTAGTGGAGGAGATCCACACTCTCGTGGCTACTTTGTCATATATACACACACAAATATATATATTACAGGACCAAAACCTAAGACCATAGAGAGGTCCCATGTATATATACAGCATGTGTGTAAATTCAAATATATCTATGAGACCTACCCATGGTCTTTGGTTTTGATCCTGAAATCTCAGAACATATGGAAATGCTGACCTGGCAAGCCTATGTATAGGAATGAATCATGTCCCAACACCCCCTTATAAATCTGGTCAGATTTACTTGTGTCCTTCAGCCTCATTTCATGGGTCCTTAATTTCATAGTGCCTGCAGACGTGGCAGAGCCAAAGAGAGGTGGATGTGAGGTAAAGTAACTGAAAGAGAGAGAGAGAAGCCAACAAGAGAGAGAGATGGGCCATGGGGTTGCCCCATCCATTTGGGACTTGGCACCCCACATGACCGAGCCATAAATCTCAGTTGATTTTTTTTTCTCCATAAAGCAACAAAGGGCCCTCCTAAGACATTTCGCTGCTTGATGTGGCATCACAAATAATGGCACACGCATAGTCCTAATCCAAATGTTTCAGAGACTAATCGCTTAAAAGCGAGCTATGTTATTTCAGCACAGGAGACAGGAAATACCACAAGTCCCCTTTTTTCATCTTCATTTTTTTAAAAAAATGATGATAATAAAGAAAATAGCTACCAGTTGCTGGTCAGAGTATATCTGATTGAAATCAGATTGATTCAAATCACTAGCAGGCTGGATAAAAATCAATTTTAAAAATTTTAATGACATTTTTTATTGATTTTTAATTTTTTTTATCCACCTGGTGATTTAAATCCTGATTTAAAACAATTTGATTTTAAGTCGTGATTTGAATTGATTTGATTTAAATCAAACCCACCTTGCTTTTCGTAAAATCTAGGATCTCCCCGCCCCCCAGCAAGCTTCCTCACTTACAGTAAGGTCAGCCCTGGGTTAACATCCCTTTCTACAAAAGGAGATTGTCTGCCCTGGTTGCTACAGATGACTGTTTTTCAACGATGTTCCCAGAGTTTCCTTGGAAACTCATCAGAAGGACCTCAAAAACAAAACAAGCAAGAGCAGATGAGACATCTCACCCAACCGTATCCACCTCCCCTTGGAATGCTCTGCCACCAGAGCAGAAAAATGCTGGGTGTGTTCATTTACGTCACCCTTTCCTTTCTGCCGGAGGCAATAAAGAGGCCCAACAGGCCTAGTGAGTACACCCCTGGAACTGAGGTGCACCCTAAGGTAAAAGGCAGCATCTTCTGCAGCGTACTGGGGTTCCTTTACAGGTAAAGGGGATCCTTGTCAGCCAGTATGCCGGGGGGGGGTTAAGTTTGAAAAAATATGCTACCTAATAAAAACAAATCCATATTGTTTTTGCTTCCTGCCAAATCTTGAAGGCTGTGAAATCCTAAGAGTCTGGAAAACAAGAGAATTCAACCTCTGGCCTTCTCCACTTTCTCTGTTCTTTTCATTTTAAAAGCAGGTTTTTAACTTTGGAGCCCGCAAAGATAATGTGGGTGACATCTTGAAAGCCAGGGCACAAGAAGGGGCTGAGTTGCTATGGTCTGCAGCAGGTGCTTCAGTATTTTTCACACCCTTTTTTTTTCCAGAAGCAGTTGTGCTGTCATATGCAAATCTTATTATATAAATGATTTCACTTCATGCAAATTGTGTGGGTTTTTTTCTTGGTACAGAACTCTCAGCCTTTAGGAATGTGTATCTTGTTTATTGTCAACAATATGAAGAATAAACAACAGTATAACACAATATAAAGACGAGAGGTGAAGAGCCATTATGAATCAAAGCCCAGATTTCAAATTTGAAACTGTGGAATGGACTGTGCTGAGGATGGATTGAGCATAGCTAAAAATAAAAGGGTGAAAACTTAAAAAAAAACTTTTAGAAGTTTTAAAAACTCTTCCCTAGGTTAATTTATTTCCAGACAACTTAAAAGCAGAGTCTACACCTCTTCCTCACCTTCTAGCCCCTTATAATCTTTCAGCATCTTTTAAAGAAAAATAGGTATTCCCAAACAATGTGAGCACAGTCAGCAGACCCCTTATCACCAGCAGCAACCACAACTCACAATCCCTTGGTCACAGGTTTACCGAGATGGTATCACACCTGAAGTATTGTGAGGAGGCTCCCTTGTAAAACGTAAACCATGGTTTGCTGAAACCAGCCAAGCCCACTTAGCAAGATCAATAGGGGGAGGATTTCTATGACATTTCACACTTTCTTTGCAACCTATACTTGAACCCACAAGCAAAATGGCTTCAAAGCTAACTATAATCAAAATTTATGTCAGTACCTCGTACTTGAATCATTGTACATGACAGAGCTGGAAGATATCTCATAACTTGTCTCGTCTGGTGCTTCCCACCTTTTGCCAAGCCAGGGGGTCTTGGACTGCAGCTTCCAGAAACCCCAACCAGCGTAACCGGTGGTGAAACCTTCTGGGAATTGCAGTTCAAGAACACCTGGTTTACCCAAGGTTGGGAACTACTGGGCTAGGGCGAGTCCAACTCACTGCCAAAGACTCGAAGAGAGAACTTGGCACACAAGGGAGACATGAAATACAGTGGTGCCTCGCTAGACAGTTACCCCGCATGACAGTTTTTTTTTTTTGCTAGATATTGACTTTTTGCCATCGCTATAGTGATTCACAAAACAGTGATTCCTATGGGGGAATTTCGCTGGACAATGTTTGGTCCCTGCTTCGCAAACCAATTTTCACTAGACGACAATTTTGACAGCTCCCTCCGGGCGCGCAAAACAGGTGTTTTTGGGACCTAAGCTTCGCAAGACAGCTATTTAAACAACTGATTGGCGGTTCGCAAAGCGGCTTTCCTATGGCTGATCTTAGCTAGACGACGATTCTTCCCCATTGGAACGCATTAAACAGGTTTCAATGCATTCCAAAGGGGAAATGCTTTTCGCTAGACGATGATTTCACTGAACAGCGATTTCAGTGGAACGGATTATCATCGTCTAGTGAGGCACCATGTATACATAAGCTTGCAGTGTACTCCTGATCTCCTAACAGGCTGAAAACATTCAGTCCACTGCAGACCTTTATCTTATAGAATCTGTAGATCT